GTCACATCTCATGTACACGGACGACATAAAACTTTATGCATCCACACAAAAACAACTTCATCAACTCCTACAAATCACACATTCATACACCAAGGACATACAAATGGAGTTTGGCTTAGACAAATGCAAAACACTTCACATAGAAAAAGGAATCCTGAAGAAAGAAGATTTTGCACTCGGAAATGGAGATGTTATTGAATCCATGGAAAAGGGCAAATTCTACAAGTATTTAGGATTCCAAGAGGCCAAACTAACAGAACATACACAAATAAAGCAAATATTAATTAAAGAATACCAAAGTAGGTTAAATGCTATCCTCAGAACACAGTTAAATGCAAAATACACAGTTAAAGCAATAAATACATATGTCATCCCAGTACTCACTTACTCTTTTGGAGTTATACTATATTGGACTAACACAGATCTTGAGCAACTCCAAAGGAAAACAAGAACAACACTAAGCGTAAACAACATCATCCTAAATCTGCCATAGAAAGATTAACCCTTCCACATAAAGATGGCGGACATGGCCTGATTGACATTATAAACCTTCACTACAAACAAATACAGTCACTGCGAGAGTTCTTCTACAAAAAGCAAGAAACATCACAGTTACATAAAGCAGTAACTTTAGCAGACTCAAATAACACACCATTAAACTTACATCATACAGACATGACACAACATATAAAAAGTATAGACACCATCAAGCAATCATGGGCTCAAAAGACACTCCATGGCAGGCATCCTTATGACCTGGCCCAGGATTTTGTTGACAAAACTGCGTCAAACAGCTGGTTAGATCGGGGATGCCTCTTTGGGGAGATGGAAAGATTCATGATTGCCATACAGGATCAGGTCATAAATACTAAAAACTACAGAAAACACATACTCAAAGATACAACACTCTCAAATGACACATGCAGAAAATGTCACATCATGCCAGAAATTATACAACACATTACTTCTGGGTGCAAGCTCTTGGCGCACACAGATTATTTATACAGACATAATCAAGTAGCAAATATAATCACAAGAGCTTGCAAAAACACAAATTATTAGACATCCACAAACCATACTACAAGTATATTTCACAGACATTATTGGAAAACAACACGCACAAAATGTACTACGACAGAGCCATAATCACAGATAAAACAATTTACCACAACAGATCAGACATCACACTCATTGACAAACAATAAAATCATAAACATTATGGACATAGCCATTCCAAACACTCACAATGTACAAAACACATTCACTGAAAAAAATTAGCAAGTACACAGAATTCGCCCAGGAAATAAGGCATCTGTGGAGGATGGAAAGGGTGCTTATTGTACTTGTCATTCTCTCCTGTACAGGTGTGATACCACACACACTACACAAAAGCCTGGGAACATTACAATTGANTGCCATAAATATGCTAACATTTTCAATCCTAATCTGTTGCATCTAAATAAATAAATACTCATTGTATAATTATTATATATATTTAATATAAATTTTAAACTTTTCAAAATTGTATTTTTTCAATGTTATGAATTATATTAAACCTCAATTTATTTGACTGAATCTAATTAAAAGAGATTTTTCTGCACTTTCCAAATTTTTTTCTTTTTAATAGTCTGGGAAGCTGTCATATGCAGTAGAAACTACTTATTATAAATATTATAACACTTATAAGTCATTTAATTTTATAAAAATTAACACCTTCCAAAAGATAAAAGTTAAAATATAAATGAATGAATAAGTTCACCAAAAAACTTCTTTAATTAATTAAAATCTAACATATAAAGAAGAAAACTTGATGGTTTGTTCTTTATACATTTTGGCACAGTTTGAGCAAGTGCAATGAAACTTTCCAGAGACCATCCAGGAGAGGTCAATGACTACTTTTGGTCTAATTAACTTCAACCCCCCTGCCTACAACAGGCTGTCCTTTCTATCTGACCAGCAGGATGATGGCATTCAAATAGGAAAATTAATATAAAGTTACTAGTAAGAACAAAATATGATTTTAATGTTTTCAAGGATGCCAAGTTTAAATATTTGGTTCATTTTTTAATGGTATGCTAAGAGTTAATGTTAGAAAAAATTTGATGTCTTAGAATTATCTTCTTGTGCAGACAAAAGTTGACACTATTTCTGTTGAAAAACATCAATCCCTGTTTATCTGAACACTGAAATTGCACCATTCTGTTCCATCCAAGAAGTGCAATAAACATGATAATAATAGACTAAAATAACCAAACTCCTAATATGGTTTTCATTTTAATGTTTGTTGTTCTTACTTTTTTGCTCAGGCAGTGCCAGACATATATTTTAGTGTACTAATAAAACTTTGTTTATTGTAATCAGTTTCAATTGTAGTTATCAATTATTATAATCAATTTGGATGTTCTTATTTGATTTATAAAAGTTTATACAAATTAACTGAATAAAGATTGAAACTTGCCTAGTGTTGAAGAAAAGTCACTTCATTATGCCAGTATACAATACATAAATACAACACGGTTTCGACAACAACAACAAGTTTATACAAATGTTTCATTTTTTTGAACATTTGTATCTATAAGCTGATGTTGGCCTAAGCTAAAAGTAGTTTTAAAAACTCTTTTCATGATAGCAACCTCAACATGTGGCTGATAATATGCGATTGTTAATCAGCGTCATTAACAGTCTTATTCATTGCTTTAAGCATTAATCATTTTAATTGCTATTTGCTCTCAATACAATAGTTTAAGTTGCAGGCATTTCTTACTTCAAATGTGCATTTGCTGCTATTAAAGATAGTATTTAAAAAATAACAAGCAAATATACTAGATGAATTACTATTAATTAAGAATAAAAATTATAATTAATAAATCTTCCAAAGTTACATATTTTTAACCTTTTTTAACATGTTATTTCAATGACAGAGAATTTCTAATTGCAGTCTTATTTATTTACTCCACTTAACGTTATCAATTTGTTGTTGTTATCAGTTCAATCAAGTAGCAAAGTGATTACAATAAGTATTATATCTACTGTATCAATAAAAATGGAAAGTTTTTCTTTCATAGTTAGAAAATAATTGAGAAAATAAATGAAATCAATAAAATTTATTACTAAAAAAAAGTATCTAAAATATTTTACTAAATTTTATTTTTATCAGAAAATAATAACTCCATATTATTTGCCATCTTCATTAATATATATATAAACTTTAAATGCCTTAAGTTTTTATTCAAAAATATTTCATTATGTTCAATTCTGTATCTGGACTGCTGTATGTTACTATGTATATAATTCGTCTCTGTAATCCAAAAGGTTTTTTGGTAGACGGACTTTTTTTTAAAGAATAAAAGTGAGTTCCTAACTAAAAGTTTTGCTGTGAGTCCGTCTACCAAAAAACCTTTTGGATTACAGAGACGAATTATATACATATTTCATTATGATTTGTCTTCAACTGTAGTTCAATGAACTCTTTAAACACAAAATATTTTTCATTTATGTGCAATATCATAATTATGAATGATTTAAATTTATAAAAATTCTTTAAATATACATTTTAAATTAAGAATAAAAAAATAAAAACAACAATACTTAAGAGCTTCAAAATAAATACAAATCAGTAACTGATTGCACAAAAGTGAATATAAAATATGCTATATGTGAATATTAAACAAAAACAAAAATAAACATTAGACTAAAAATGAATTAAATTATAAAAATATCATATATACTGTATATCAAAAAGTTCTACATCCTTAATACATTATTTGATTAAGTTTCTTTTATATCTTTTCATATTTTCAGTAATTTCTGTTTCTCTACCATTTACAACATTTTTTTCATATATGATAAATCATTATATTTTTAGAAAGATTAAATCATTTGTAAGTTTTTGACATTTTAACTTATTTATTCAGCCATCTTTGCATTGATATCTGCATATTTTGATTAGCAAAACTCAATTTTTAAATGCAACACAAAAATAAAATACTATCAGAATATTTCTGCACTATTTCTATTTCTAACGGAAAGCGTATTGGTTTCTTTGAAATTAATACCGACCCCTTTTTTAATTGCCTTATATATCTCCAGTGATTCGAGGTACTTGAATGCTTTCCGTAGCATGGCGCGCCATGTTTGAATTAAATCCCAATGATTAAAATGCGCATTGAAGATATTTTAAATTATGGAGGATATTTACGTCATGATCTATGTGAAATCAATTGATTATTTATTTGGATATGTTTTAAATATTTTACATATTTTAATTTTAACACATCATATTCGAATTACGTCGTTAAACAGAACTTTCAAAAACGTTCTATTCGACTAGCTGTTAGTTCGATATCGTCAATACCTGAGGATGTCTATTACATATAGACGAAAATGTTCGTAGAAAGAATTCTTCTGCTGGCTTATGAACTGGATATGGTTTATTTGGTGAGTCGGATATAATTAAAACAAAATAAATTGTAGCTATGTGTCGATTCCACGCGACACGTCCATACATGTAAGCTGAACAGAAGTGTGGGGGAAGTGAGTAATCAATCTTGCCAATTCGTCTTTTGTTTGAGCGCCACAAAAGCGCTTTTGTGTCTTTTGTATGGCGCTCAAACAAAAGACAAATTGGCAAGATTTGAAAATCGCGTAACTCCGGGTTCGCGTAAGTCGAGGTATTACTGTATACATACATATACACTTGCACAAACACAATTGTTATTATTATGTATAAATTAGGTAAAATTTTAAATTATTGAAATAAAATAATACATANAAAAAATATTGGAGTAGCCCAAGATATAGCCAAAGATTGCAGCGCCACAGCACTAGCAAAAATTTAAATTTACCGACTGGAATTCTTTCGGATAACTGACATTTCGGATAAACGACGCTCTACTGTATATATTTCTCCCCCCAGACTACAAATTAATCTTTCTATAATGCTGAGAATAACAACTTAAAATTGATCCATTAAGATATAAATGTTATCATTAAATACTTACATGACAATTTTTTTTTTAAATAAAGGGCAATCCAAGGTAAATGTTTCATATTCACCACCTTCTCCACAAACATTTAATCCATATTTTTCTTCCTTAAAATATTTAGATTTTATAATTAATGATAAACATTAAATAATTTTGCAATCAAATAATTTTTAAAAGCACAGTTTTAATAATAAAAATAAATTTGATAATGCATACCATTTTGACCATGTGATCATAAATTTCATGAAGACTTTTACCAAGATGCTGTTCAGGCTTTAGGCCTAAAGATAATTTCTTTATTAATGTCATAAAAGTATTAAAATGCAAATAAAAATAACAAGTAATATTTATTACAGTAAATATAACTGTATATGATAACAAAAGTATCAACTAAATATATATATACACAGAAGAATCTAATAACATGAGAAACTTAATGCATTGTAAATTTATATTTAAATGTTTTTGGTTCATACTAAAAAATTAAAAACATTTATATGTTCTTAATATATATGTGTATAGATACAGACCTATCAAATCCCTTAAAATAAAAAGAATCAAATCCCTTAAAATAAAAAAAAAAACTTAAATTTCTTATTTAGTGTTCAAATAAATTAATAATCTATTGTTCTCACAGAACTATTTCAAACTATAAAAATATTGTTTTCACATTATCTTATTTCAAAGAAAAGATTATTATTATCTTGATATTAAAATATTGCCAAATTTTCCATAATTAAAAAAAAATAATAATAATTATGAAAAATTTTGCAATGTTTTAGTGCCAACACAAATGGATAATAATAATAATAAATATCAGACAATATCAAACACGAAAAAAAAACACAGTTTATGCTGTCACATCTCATGTACACGGACGACATAAAACTTTATGCATCCACACAAAAACAACTTCATCAACTCCTACAAATCACACATTCATACACCAAGGACATACAAATGGAGTTTGGCTTAGACAAATGCAAAACACTTCACATAGAAAAAGGAATCCTGAAGAAAGAAGATTTTGCACTTGGAAATGGAGACGTTATTGAATCCATGGAAGAGGGCGAGTTCTACAAGTACTTAGGATTCCAACAGGCCAAACTAACAGAACATACACAAATAAAGCAACGATTAATTAAAGAATACCAAAGTAGGTTAAACGC